AACCACGGATGAAATACTTTCTATTAAAGTTAAGAATGGAAAAAAGAGGTTTAATAAAACACTTCAAGTATAGCTAGGACAGAATATAATGTAATCTCAGTTGTCCACCTCAAGAAGAATGTGTTTTATAGATGAAGAAGGACACCCATCTGAAATAACATTGGCCTAGTATTTTCTGATAATGTAGCGCCTAATAGGCACTGTAATGATTTGTGGCTTCCTGGATTTTTATAATTCTCCCTACACATTAGAAACCATACTTCGTTTGTAAAAATGCGTGATTCTAGTAAACTATTCTTGAAAGTGAACAACCTTTTCTCTATTCTATAGCCCTATTGTGGAAGAAAGCTCAACATATCTGACCCATGTCTGCTTGTAGGTCCAATGATTAAGAATTTGTCCTAATGAAGTGTTTGAAAGATTTGACTATTTAGTTTAAATAACATTTACCATTTTTCTTAATTATAGTTTTAACAGATATGATAGGCAGAAAACTTGGAAACCACATAAAAGTACAAATTAAAAAATAGTCCTCAAGTCTTCATAACTTTTCTCTTGTTATCTCTTGTCTCTAATACTAACTAATTTCATGGTTTTGTCCTTTGGCAGATGGTATTGTCTGGATTTTATTTCCCATAACTTTTTTCTCAGCTATTCCATGATGATTTTATTTTATGATTGCTTATACTGTTGTCTGTTGAATGGATTGTTATATATCTCCTTTTTTTCATTTATTTCTTCAACATACAGTCACACGTGCTGTGTGTGAAACATTGTGTGGGAATATATAAACGAGGAAAGCTCATATCTTCATGGAAGTTGATCAAAGATAAGGTGCTTAAATTTGCGGTGACAAATGAAGCTACACTTAATTTACTTTGTTGTCCATACAATCCAGCACAGTATCTTCTGCCTTCTTCTGTGCAACAAAGGAACACTTATACCTATCAAACAAGTAGTTAGTTGTTTCTTACCAATACTGCAACTTTCCTAATGGTAAACATTGGGTAAGTGGAAAGTTTTGAATTGAGGTACATTTATATCATGCTTATGAGTTAGCAGAATAAAGTAAACCCACTTTATTTGTGGATTTATTAAATTCACTTTTGACCAAGCATGGTCAAAGAATAATGAAATTTTAAAACTCAAGTGAAATTTCAGAAACAAGTATTTTAAATTTCTGCATGTGCATTACACAGCCAAGGTGATGTAGAGAAGCTCTCTGTTGTTACTGTCGGTTGTGTTTAATTCCTTGTGTGATCTGCTGAGTGTTTCCCTAACCTTAGTTTTGTAAAAAGAGCCCTTCCAAAAAGCAAGTCATGCCCAAAAAGCAAGATGAAAGATAATGTGTTTAATTGAAGTGATAAAATGAAATTCTGGGGGGTTGTCAGAAAGTGTCATGTATGTAGCAGAAGCTAGGAGGCGTTACAGGGAAAATAAATCAAGAATGTACAGTGTTCGAGGTCAAGAGTATGAAGTAAGATCTGGTTTTGGTGAGCAGTATGAATAGGTACATAGCAACTTTTGTGACCATAATGTAGCCTACTCCATCTGGTTTCAAGTTAAGGATGCTTAGATCTACTGTATGTATGGTGTAGGTAAATTTATGCATTTTAGAGTTCTGAACTCTATGTAACCTGAGCATTTTTTCCTCAATGGGGGTCTCTTTGGAACTGTATAACTGTGGATACCAAGGGTGTACTTATCATTCTATCGGTTTATAGGGTATCTGTGAAGCCCAAGGAAAGCAACAAATATGAACTATTAGAAAAAAGGAAGGTGGCAGGTAATGTGATTTAAATGGAGTTTTTACTGTAACCACTAAGAAACAAAACGTTTAGTAACCTTGGTCATCTAAAATGTGGTTATGTTATTGAAAAAAACATGCCTTTAATTTCTAAATATCTATTGCATATCTTAGTGCACAAAAAATAATTTAGCTTCTGGGGAACATAAGAAGATATATAAAATGCAGCAGAAAATAAGTCAACAGATGACTTATATCTAGACCTTCCATCAAAAAGCCTGTAGCACTACACAGGACAGGTCAAGTCACATACATTCACCCACATGATTATTCTCACACACACACACTCACACAAAATGTTTCTAGAGGTTCCTCCCGTGCTTTACCTGGCTGATTCCAAGGTGTCCTTCACTTTTGAAGTTGAATGTTACTTTCTTAAAGTTCCCCGATTCTTCTTTATCAGATTTTTTTTTACAGTTTTTCAAAGCATCCTATTGTCCTTACTTAGCATTCAATATATTTAAAATTACATTATTCTTAGACATATTTATTATCTGTCTCCTCCCTAGATAATAAGCATAAAAAGTTCCACACACTAGCAACTTGTCTGCCTGAATATGAGCTCAACAAGTAGTGATTGCCTATAATAACAAGAATGTGTAAAAGCTATGGCAGGGAAAGATAGAAAAGGAAAGTGTGATGGGAATGTAATGGAAAGAGAAACAACATTTAATACGGGTGCTCAAAAATGCTTTACATAAAGCTGACATGGAACTTAGTGGCTGTGTATCAGTGATGAATGCGGTGCTTCATGGACACACACAGAGGGTTGGTATGGAAAGGATGGGCTATAGAAACACAAATGATCAGGGTTAATATATCTACTTGACACAACAGACACAATGTCCAGAGCCCACAGCACTTTTAGGGGCCAACAAAATATTTTGAAGTTTAGTTTCTTTTAATCAGAAGAAAAAAGAATATAATATTAATAGATATAAAAAATGAATCCAATATGGAATACGGGTATAAATTACAACTTTTTTATATTGTCTCTTGGAAGAAAGGACCCACAGAGATAAAAGTGCCCATAGCTCACAAAAGACATAGGCAGCCCTGGGGATGGTTTTGTGTACAGTATATTTTTGCTAGAACCCAGAAAAGGAAAAAGATGATCTAAGGTTGAAAATGTAGGCTGTCTTTTGGTCAAAGAGAACCCAAATGACAGGCTAAGAAGTTTCTTCAAATTTTGAATGGCCTTCAGAGCTTTTTGTGTGAACTTGTGGCTTAATGAAGGCCTTAGAAAGAGAATTCTTGCAGGATTCTCTTTCAGAATAAGACTGGTTGATATAGAAGAGAAGGAGAGTGATTAGTTAGGAGCCTTTTGCATTGGTTTAGATGGCAGTTAAAAAGATTACAGAAGGGAGCTTGAGAAGACATGGATATTACACAAACATTCAGGTAAATATTTAGCCATGCATTTTAGATCCTATGCATAAAAGCTTACTTTTCCTGATTGAAACCCTCCATAGTTATAATTATGTATTTGCATTCCCTATAATTATAAATTCCAGGATAGGAGGGATTGTGTCAAACCCTACTGCTATTCATTTAGGGCATTGAACATAGAGATATCCAAGAAAATAAGAGAGTTCAATTCTTGAAAAGGTGTTAAAACCATTATAACTAGAACTGTATGACTGACCAAGCCATCCCAGTCATCAAAGCAAATACTCAAAGTCTGAGTATATGACTAATATCTTCTAATTGGTTGATGATTTGATTATTCTGCATGGCAAAGCCGAAGTAACCATACATACATTAATTATAATCTATTTTAAAGTTGATTTTCAATTTCTTCAAAATCAAAAGATCTCTGCCTCTGTTCTACAACTATGTAAATAGGTATGCTTATTTACCAACACCATCATCATAACTTATATTTTTATATTTAGCATTAATTCATATCATATGCAGAGAAAGCTACAATTGCACTAAACTACCATGTACTGTGCAAAGAGTACAGTTGTGCTCTCTGTAGATTCATGAGCTTTCTCACTGAGTGGGTGGTTTATATTCTTTGCCAAGTCTTGTACTGGAAATTCAAGGAAAGGATGCATATAATGACTTTTGTTAGATGCTAGTAAGGCACCTAACCTACCAGCAAGATTAAACCAAAGCTTGCTAAGGACAAGTGAGTTTCATCTAGTCCTCAAAGAGTAAATGCTGATCAGGTGAATCAAAACAGAATAGCATGCACATTTGTTAAATGATAAGAATGAGACTTGTATTTAGAAACGTTTGTTAATCTTTTGGAGCATCAGTTTCGGTATCCATTGCAAGTGATAATCATTTTTGTAACACTTTTCGACTGTTTTCTATGTTCCTTAAAAAACATATATAAAAATAGCATAAAGGTTATAAATTCCATGATGCTGGTAAGAGATAAAATATTCACTCTTTTAGGATTTAGTTAGCTGCCTATTTATGTTTTAAAGATTGTCTTTCTTGGGGACAGAAGCATAGACTAAATGAATCTTCCAGAAGCTTCTAAACTCTTGTTCTTTGGATAACTTGAGAAGTATGCAGAATAAAAACCTTGTTAAATCAGTGAGAATCTACATTTCTACATTTCTATTAATTGCTATAAAAGAAAGTAATGATTTTATAGCATTGATATTATACATAGCAAACCATAAAAAATTCATTGTTCTGTACTATTATGTGAAAGCTGAAAGATGTCAAAACATAGCCATTTAATTGGTACTTTTTGGAGGCACCCATAAGTTTCATGAAAACTATCACTGAAATAAATTCAGGATGGAATTTTCAGAACTGAGTATCCTAGGCAATTTGAAAGCAAATGAATTGTTCTCCCATTTTGTACTGCAGCCATTCTGGGCCTCTATTCCAAAGTAAGGATAAAGGTAGGCAGAGTACCAGAATAAGTCGATGTTCCTCTTGAGGTTAAAGGTCTGTTTCTTTCAATCAGTTCAAACTGACAGGCATCCTGCCATCACCTACGCAGTAGCCAGGCAGACAGGCCCTGGCCGTCAGTGTGAAAACATCTGCTGAATGGATTTATTGACTGGATCTTGTTTTTATTCTCCCTTTCTCTATTTTTTTTCTCTCTTTTTCCTTCACACCGTTTATTATGTCTCTGACCTGATGAACTTAATTTGTTGACATGTCACTCCCAGTGTCTTCCGCAATGATGGTCTCACGTTTCTTTTTACTGTGCTCTTCTTGGCAGCAGCCCTTCCTGGAGCCCCTGCACACACGTGCGCACTCGGTGCGCCAAGCTCAGCTGGCTGCGGTTGGCATGGATGGATTAGACAAGCATCGCCTTCTCTCCAGGACTCATTCTTCCCCTGCTGCCTCCATGTTAGCTCACCCAGCAGCAGATCGCCCTCTCCAGCCTGGCTCTGCAACTGGTAGGAATCCCTAAAGACTGTCGCTAATAGGCAGGCTAAACGCATGGTTCTTGTAGGATTAGGCGATTTAAATGCTCTGAATAACTCCAATAGCAGAACGCTCCAATTTAACCCAATGCAACCCAAATTTTATGAGGTTATATTGGTCACAAGACAAAACAGCACATCTGATAAATCTGTGGCTTAGTATTAATAGCCTCATAAATTGTTATCATTCTAGGGCCTGGAAAATACATCAACAGGTGCATGGATCCCCTTTGGAAATAAAAATCTCTACAACATTCTTTAGCAGTGTTCTTCAATCTCCTACCTTCTAGGAGCTTGGCCATTGGAAAATTTATGATGTTCGGCTTCCTCATTTGGCTCTACAGAGTGTTTTTTCCCTCAGTTTGTTTTCTTGTTGTTGTGATTCAAAGTTTTCTTATGACTTCCCACATAAAAAATGACTCATGGGAGTCAAGGGTACCAAGACCAACCTTGCTTTTTTTCTAGTACGTTATTTCCATTTCTATTTATTTTGATACCTCTGGGTGGGCTTTTTGACCATTCTCTTCCATTGTCCACAGCTGTGTTTGATATTTCAGAATTTGGCTATGGAAGAAATCAAGTCAGATGATTGTAAGGACAGAAGAAGGTCAAGTCTGGAACACGTGTGAAAAAAATGGGGGGGATGTTTACTCCCTTTGCAAAGGGACTGTGCTGTAAACATATGTGTGGATAATTGTTTCTGTTTGTCTACTATACCTTGTTCTGGTTCCATGCTCTCAAACAGTGGCTGATCAAATGAAAGACGTGGTAGCCCAAAGAGACTCAGAACTTGGATACAGCAAAGGGAGCATTCATATGTAACTTCCCCAAAGATCTCATGGCTCATTTAATTTACTTTATAATTGTTTTTCAAGTTCCAGAACTTGTTTTTGTGGCATCTGTGACCTCATGTAGGCCTTTGTACTTGGAAAAGTTAAAATACCTTTTTAGCAACCATGTTTTCAACCCTTGATACCATCTTTTATTTTAAAAAATTGATGAATGAAAAGGCCAATTTATTCAACTGATAGGCATCTTTCATAAGTGTGCATGGGATCTACTTTTTATAATGTGTTGTACCACAAGACAACATTTCATATTAGGAGCTACAGACTGGACATTTTTTTTTTTTACCACATTAGCCAGAGCCTCTGATCCTTCTACTTCCTGGAGCACAGCAAAGCTGCCTGGATATCCTAGACAACCTGGGACTGCAGCCTAGTGTCAGGGAAAACCTTTGGGATCAATCATGGCTGTGCTATCCCTTGCAAGTTTTTGTAGAAAACCAGATGCATGATCTGGTTTTAACATACGTTAAACATAGCAAGAGCAGTAGCTTTAAGAATTACATACTTCATACTTTTTTCCCTTGAAACAAACATTTCAAAGAATGCATAATAATAACTATCCTGCCATGATGTCATTTCCATTAACTAAAATAGTTTTCTCAACTAAAAATGAGTTAATTATATGTAAGTTTCATGTCAGTGTTACTGTGTGCTGCTGGCTGTTATTGTAAGCCTATCGACAGGGTTTCTTTTCTTGTTTGGAGTGTTGCCCTCTCCTGAAATACTTTGGATTCCTCTACTTTTTGCATGTTCTTTGTATATGAATGAAGATCTCTGAATATAGAGAGATCCTACAAGTTTGTGATTAACATATATATTATTAATCACATATATATTATGTATACATCACACACATATATATCTGGTGTGGGGGAGTGTCTGCATGAGAATGCCATCTTGTCACCTTTGGCATGTTGAATACAGACTTACTAGGACATGAACTTTTGTCTGAAAAGTCTGCAAATGTGGGCAAATACTCAAGGAGCTTGCACTGCAGAGAAGTCTGAGGCCAGTTTGATTTGTGTTTCTTTGGGGGCAGTATATTTTTTTCTTTTCTGGAGGTCATGGTTCATTTTCTTTATTCTGATCATTTAAAAATATGAATTATTTTTATGATAAACATTTGCAGCTACTTATGCACATATCTCTTTCTACTTATTCAAAGCTTCTTCAATTATTTCAATTATTCAATTAGTCTGATTTCCTCTTCAGGAGCAGTCACAGCTTTCTCTTCAATTCCTTTTTTTCTGCTCTCCATGTTTCCATCTCATTGTGTGTGGCTTGTCATCTTTTTCTTAACCTTCCAACGACATCTCAAGCTTGTGTTCAGTAACACTGATCTGATTTTGTGGAATGTAAATTCCTATCTTTGTTGCCTCAAGGATCAATTTTAATTTTGCTATATTTTAATTTCCTTTCAATCCCTATTTATCATGCAGGTCAATACCCTTTGATATTTGAAAATTCCAAAATATTTTTTAAAACATTATTTTTGTTCTTTTGGCTAATCATGATCACTTAGCTAAGTAGGATGAGTATTTCTTCTCCAGTTTCTGTAGTATATTGTCATAGGCTCTGTTTCTTGTCTTTGTTTTTTTTCCCCTGCTCACTTGTTCTTGAATGTAGAAAAATTTTTCCAGATATTTTGCCAGCAAATATGTAGTGAATTGTGGTTGGATTCCCTTTCTGCCAATTTACATGCTGGTTGAATCTCCTTCTTGGCTTCATCATTGAATGGTGACACTTAATCCAATTCCTAGGCTCTAATAGTTTTTCATATAGTGTTAGTTGAAAGGCTTATGGCGGGAATTTCATCTACCCCTTTCCTTTCTACCTGATACTCTGATAATATGATTTACATGAAAAAATAAAACTTTAAACCTCAGGAAATGTTCTTATCTAGTAAAAGGAACAGCTTGTCAATTTTTAAAAATACTTTATGGATATTGCATCACTTGCTTGCCTGATAAATTAAGTTTCACACATAATTAAAATGTGTATCATTTGATAACTTGATCTATGTGTTCTAATTAAAAATACCATACCAAATATATAAAAAAGTGTAGTAGAACTAGAAAAATAAGGTAAGATGAACTTACTGATAGATTTGAATTAAGGATGTAAAGAGCAACAAGAACTACTATGGGAATGAATTTGAGGTTGATGGAAATGACCCTTATTTCAAAACACAGTCCTTCCTCAGTATCCATAGAGGATTGAATCCAGGAGCCTGAAAGATACCCAGACTCATACGTGCTTGTGTTGCTTATATAAAATGCTACAGAATTTTCATATATCCTATACATGTCCCTCTATTACATACTTAAAATCATTCCTAGATTACTTATGATACCTAATACAATTTAAATATTATATGAATTGTTGTTCAACTGTATTGTTTCAGAAATAAGAACAGGGAAGAATAGTTTGTATATATTCAGCACAGATGCAAATTTTTCCCAGTGTTTTTGATTCACAGGTTGTGTAATCTGTGACTGCACAATTTGTGGATACAGAGGGCTATGTGAAGGTCCTTGTATCTATTTTAATAATTCTACCATTTCCAGGTCATTTTTTTTTCATTTTAAAAACATTTCTATTTTTGAGAGATCTCTGATCTCACAATTTTTTCCTTTCTTAGCACATAGTATATAAAAAATACATGTCATACAACTATGCTTGCGCATTGACCCCTTTTTGCTACTAGATCATATGTTAACTGTGACGAAATGAAGCTTCTGGCATATGGTATGCATTCAAATACTATCTACCAAATCTATATCTTGGAGGAGAGTGTAGTGTTTTATGCTTTTCATTGTACTGATACTTGGTTTTTTTTTCCTTAGCCCTAGAAGTTGTTTATTTATTTAAATTTAAAAAAAAATGATTGTTGTGCTGGGTGGGAGTACATTGTGGCATATGCAATATATCAAATATATCATGTTTGAATTCACTCCCTCTACCATTCTCCTTTCCCCTTTGCCAAGAAGTTTAGCAAGCATCTTGGGAAGGGTTAAGTCTTCAGACAGTTACCAGAAAGGCAGTATGAAGTTGATTGTTAGGAGCTAAGAATCAGAATTAGGAGTTTATGGTCTAAAAATGCTGAAGTTGGGCTGGTGGAGTGGCTCAAGTGGTAGAGTGCCTGCCTAGCAAGCGTGAAGCCCTGAGTTCAAACCCCAGTACTGCCAAAAAAAAGGTAGTAAAAATGCTGAAGTTAACTTTCGTTATAGACTAGGTGGTCTTAGCTAAACAAGTCCCAGGAGACTTAGTGTAATCAACTCCATGAGCTAAAAATGACTTAGATACATGTAATAAATGATGAAGGAAAAGAAAGACATGACCCTTGATGCTTCAAATACATTATCTCATTTAATAAAAGGCAGAACAAACACAAAGTCCAAGCATATCTAAAAAGCAATCCAAACATTTTTGGAGGGATTTTTAAAGAAAACATTACTATTATGGCTTAAAATGCAGGTGACCATTTTCAGATTCATTTGCTTAATTTTAAATCTTGTCTCATTGATCAAGAGAAAGATTGGTCAATTGGCTTTTGTTGTAAGTGGTAACTTGTGAGGCAGAAAGAGTCAAACAAAGGTAGAATTCCATATGAATCCTAAAGAGAAGAGCAGGCTTGTTTCTCACCCTGTAAGTCCCTGTTTCTGAGGGGAGAAAAAAAAAGGAGAGGAAAGAAATGGAAATGAAGGATGAGGTTAAAGTCTCACCTTGCAGTGTACCTGTTAACACTTCATTGATACATCATTAAGATGAGTCAGTGGAGGTTTGGGTTCCAGTTTTTATTTATTTCCCCTTAAATTCAAATGTCTTTCCAAGAGCTCCTGGACTTTGTATTATAATCTCCAGATATCTGGCAATACTTTCTAGCTACCATAACTTGTTTCACAATTTTCTTTTCTCTTGGCAGTGGGTTATAGGTAAAATGCTGTTACAAGGGGGAAAATCACTATAGAAGTGAGCTTGATTATGCATAGCTACAAAACTGAAAATGTTAAGCAACCTAATTTGATGAAAATTTCTACTCTTGAAAAATATATTTTCAAAATGAGGCCGATATACTTTTGTTTCCATATTATTAATGTACCATTTATTTTCTGTAGTATGAAACTAGTAGAAAAAATGTTAAAAAACTCCTGTTATGTAATAGCAACTCCCACATCACTTGATAAATCTGAATTGTAAAGGCATGTTTTATGTACTTTGCATTTTGAACGTTATTCTCCCTTCCTGCCTACCTGCTTTCTAGTATGCCTTTCTGAATGTCTTCCTTTTGATGTTATCTAAAAATATTTATTCTTACTGAATTTGGAACAAAATGAAAAATTGGAACTACATATCAAATGACTTGTAGAACTTTAAAGCTGGGCAGAATAAATGCTGTAGTAGAGGCCAATTGCTGGTTGGAAGATAAGGGACACAACATAAAGAATGAAGGAGAGAGTGAATTCGACTATAATAAATTTTAAGAAATTTTGTAAATGTCACAATGTACCCTCAGTACAATAATAATAAAAATAAAATATAAAATAGTAAAATATCAAGGAAGCCATAAAACTTTGGTATGCCAAGGAGATCCACTGATTAAACTCATCAAGGAAGTCTGTATAAGTGAAATAACTGACATAGTTCTTGAATCTATTCATTAATTTATGCCTTTAATTCATTTGTTACAATATACCTTTGAGGATCTACTTTATTCCACATATGGTTACTGACACTGGGTGCTCAAAGGTAAATAAAAAACTGTAGACTGTTCTTTCATAGGTCTTACTTTCTAAGTGAAGAAAAGGTACAGTTAATAAAATTATACAGCAATTACCTAATTGTCATCAATACTTTGAAGGGACCTAGAATATACTATGAGGTCAGATTCAATAGGAGGAGATCTACTTTAGTCATTTAGGGAATGCTTTGTTGAGGAAGTGGTATTAAAATCAACTCTTGAAGAATGGAAAGGAGTTACCTAAATGAAGGCTGGAGTTATGGAGATCAGGAAAGGTTTCTAGACATCAGAAGGGGCTTAGCTATGCTGGCCTTGAGGAACTTCAGTCTCAGGTCAATCCCTGAAATATTTAAGCAAAAGTAGTTACTGTCATGTGGTAAATAATAGAATGGAAGTCAGATAGTCACTTACAATGCTATCTCAGGAGTCCAGGTTAGAGATAGTGGTACCATGGATTATGTATGGTTTGGGCAGTAGAGATAAGAAGTGAGTGATTCAAGACCTGTTTTGTAGGGAAAACAGACATTCCTTTGGTTCCTTGGAGAGGAAGTATGAAGAAGACACTAAGCTTTCAGGCATGAATAATGAAGAATCTCGATGTCCTTTGTAAAAATGAGGAGCACTGTGTGCGGTTTAAGATCATGAATTCAAAATCAGAGGTGTTCTTACTTTATGAAAACTATGGGACATTCAAGTGGACATTTTGGCTGGGCTGTGGAACAGATAAGTGTGCAAGTATGCTGCTCAGAAAGAGGGCAGAGCTGAGGATGAAAGTATTACAAGGTCAGGGGCAGGCTGACTTACAAGGATGGGGGTTTAAGCCATTTAAGTCTTAAGAATGAACATTATTTGGACCCATAAAACAATATTTTTTCTTAGACATAATTTTTACCACATGGTTTCAAAATGCATATGTCATTCTTCTGCATGATTTTAGTACACTCAAGGGAAAATATTTTCCCCTCTTGAGTAACAGTCCTCTAACACAATAATGTAAGTCAAAGAGGGAGTAAATTGATTTAATTAAACTTACTTTGCAACATAAATTGCTTGTACTTATCTCTGCTTAAATAGATTTTTCGTTGTTCTTAATTTCTTATCATGAATACCCCTCTGGAAAAATGAACCCTGGTGGTCACTCCTTGGGATACATTTGATTCGCTAGATAATTTCTTATGTCAGGCAATTTTGTAAGTAATATGTTTTCCCCCAAGGAATAGGGTTATGGGTGGAAATCTTCTTAAAATGAGCCAGAGCTATAATTATCATCTAACTTGTTGTTTTAAAAAGTCCTACTTTATATTCCCCTAATAATTAATTTCATCAAACTTTTTCCCAACATAGGGTCTAACTGAAACATAACATATGCAAACTCCTGATGGCAGATTTTATTCATTATCTATGCAATCTCTACTAAAGGTATTGCAATTGACAAAGAAATACTTCAAATGTTCCATAATATTATAAGATCTACACTAACCATGATTACATACTGGCATCAATTATGAGGAGAACACAAATGAGAAAAGAAGAAATTTTCTGTGTAACTTTGATATAATTGTTGAGCAGAATAGAGAAGGAGTTGGAAATCCTTCCAGTTTAGTTCAAGAATATCCCCCTAATCTGAAGTATGCTTTGGAATTTACTCATTAAATTAATTCAAGATTTTAAAAGCCAGTTCGTTTTGTGACTTCCCTGAGCAAACTAAAACCTCTACTGAATTGTCTGACTAAAAACAACTCATAATGACTTAAAGTACTAGTAAGATTGGGTTACAGTAGATACAGAACTATATCTGAACTTTCTAAAATGTCACCATTTTCATCACTTGATAGATTTATGAACCTAAGATCTGAGTATTGGTTAATACATATATTGATGTTTCTGTGTATACATACAGATACATAAGTTTAGATAGTTCTAATGTGGTCCTTGGGAATTTTCTAATATGGATTATTTCTCTCTTTGTAAAATTTATTTCTAAAAGAATGAGTTTTTTGAGTAAATATTTTATATTCTAACAGTTACCACTAGCTTGTAGCATTACTCAATCTTGGGCTGTGTTTTCTTTGTCTTGAAGGAATTGCCTATGACCCTCTGATGCTGAAACACCAGTGCGTTTGTGGCAATTCCACCACCCACCCTGAGCATGCAGGACGAATACAGAGCATCTGGTCACGGCTGCAAGAAACTGGGCTGCTAACTAAATGTGAGGTAATCCTGAATTGGCCACACTCTTTTACTTACTTAAATAAATCATGTAAAGAGGCCAGTATTCATTTGAGTAGTAGCAGAAAAATGTTAACCATGTAGTGTGCACTGTGATTGATGATCTGTCATAGATACAAACTACACAAAACTTACCAGTTGACTCTGGGCTGGGCACACAGTAGGTACTCAGTGTTAATGGATGGAACAGCTGCCTAATATGTGTATTCTATTACAGCATTACTAAGTACACATGATGGCATTCTTATTTGCAAATAGGCATCTTTTATTGAATTAATCTCCTGAGGACTCTTGCAAAAATGTTAAGTTCTAATTAATTTTTTCTTTTTTGTTATGAACTATGCTTTGAATTTGGATATATGGCAATTTAGCCTCACAAAAATGAGTAGATTTAAAAAGATTAACTTTCCCTTTACCAAGAAAAATCACTCTTTTTTTATCCAAGTGACTAATATCTTTAATAATTTTGTGGTAGATATTTGAATGTTTTTATTTTGCCCATATGTCTTTTGACTCCCTTTTGTAGACTGCTGGTAAATCCCATTTTCATTTACAAAAATCTATTTCTTTGCACTTTCAAAGGTTAAAAATAAAAGTGATAGCAATTCAAAAAAAAAATCTCCCTTTCTCAAATTTTCAAAATGTGGAAGGACTAACAGCTGTTAGATTTATTTGCCACAAATGCCCATTGTTACCTAGAAGCTAATAACATTCTGCATTTGAGTTCAAACCATTTTTCATAGAAACATGCCTCTAATATGTTTTCTCACTTTATTTTAACATTTGATTAAAAACCGTTTTTACTGGATGTATGTTAAACTCCAAGGCATGTTCCACATACTACAATTACAAATTTCACAAGACAGGTAAGGTCCTTGTCCTTATAGTGTAACATTTTAACATGTTGCTATTTGGTCATTGACCTTCTATGCAGATCAATTTAACATAGTTCACACCTGACTAGGAAAAAATTAAATATTCTAATCATTGTTATGGCATAACACTTATACATTGAGAGTATGTTAGAATTGCTATACTTGAATAAAATGAAAAGTAATTTTTGTCAGTACTTTTGATGTTATATGCAAATTGTATTTTGTTATTTGCATAGTATGTAAGTTCTAAGGTCAGGATTTTAAAGGTGGTGATCATATAATTGATTATATGGTTGGTATCAATTCAGAACATTTTCAAAAACTCACAATAATACATTATGTTTAGCCACCCAAAACATAATAAATGAAATTATCATTCAAATTCAATTTAGTTTAAGGTGAATTTGTAAACTATTTTTATTTGAAGTAGAGATGATGAAACAGATAGAATGCTCCTAAAGTCAAGTGCACTTGCCTCTATTTAATTGTGTAAGTGAGAATTGTATGATACGTCTCTGGAAACCACTAAAAATAATTAACTTTTGACGATGCAAAGCCATTCTCTGTTTGTCCGATTTAAGGAAAAATATTTTCATTATATTTTCTCTTTAAAAATTAATAATATATTTCATCCTACAGAGATACTACTTTTTAACATTAAATCAGTGATAATGTTTAAGGGTTATACAACAGTTAAGATTGTGAATGAATATACCATAGCACTGTGTACAGATTTAGTCTAACAAGTTTTATTATATGTTTATGATGGTACTATTAAACATTTTTTATATTTAAAGCTCTGCTTTTGATTAAATATATCCTTTACCTAAAAAATTTTCAAAGCAAAGGGAAATTAGCTAGATTTATTTATTTGGCTCTTTCCTGAGTGAAGGTCAGTTATTCATCTTTTGCTGGTGGTATTCACATTATATGACAGAGGCTTTCCTTGCTGGTTAATTTTAGAGTTGTCTGAAAAGATTTCACATTTCTGATTATGCAATGTGTAGTCCAAGCCATTCTCTTTTGTACAAAATCCCTGATGTAATATGTAAAGTATGAGCAAGGAGACTTACTTGTAATAGACTGACCTTAATGGACAAATGCATTTATTCATGTGAATTGTTGCATCTCACCTCTGCATATGTTGTAGATGTTTTCCTACTTGTCAACTTTTTGGTGTGCTAGCAAAGGCATTGGTGCTTACATTTTCCCACTTTAAAGTCTTTATTATACTCTGCAGCAGCTGGTCTGTTCCTAACATCTTCAAATTGCCAGTGACTGATCACAGGCTTCAGATGCATTATTGCATAATGGTTTTCCTGAAATCCTAAAGGAGAGCTGTTTAGAAAAGCAGCAGAGGTAGAAATAAATGGAATTTAGCATGGTTCATCCTGCTCTTAAAAGTTAAGTCTGTTATCTTCCCTTTTTGGTCACTCTTCTCTTCATTTCCTCATACACCATGTTATTTTAGTCATATATTTTTTTCAAACCACATGATTCAATTTATATACCACTTCTTAATCAATTTCAGAGTGAAATGCAGGACTATTTGGTAGAAGAGAATGAGTGAGGCCAGCCACACCTGGTCACAAAAACAAAGGTCTTCCTGATAACAGTCACAGAATTAACAAATAGTACATCAGAGTGCTCAGATCATTGGATTAGTTCCGAATGAAGACCAACCAGAAAAGTCTCACCCAAAACGTCACATTGATGTAAAAAGAACTTCACTTTCCTAGCATATTGGATGCAGTTTAACAGGTGTTTATTTTCTTCAGTGAAGAAATTGTTGCCAATATGAGTGTATTTGCTCTTTCACTTCATGAGATGATAACATAAATAAAAACATGAAATAGAACTTCTAAAACCACCAGAAAACAATTCACTTTTATTTATTTTTTATTGTTTTATTATTCATATGTGCATACAAGGCTTGGGTCATTTTCCCCCCTTCCCCCACCCCCACCCTTCACTTCACAATTCACTTTCAGACACCTAGGAATTCATTGTCCTCCTTTTGAGAGATGATTTTAGGATTATCCAAAATGGAATTTTGCAATTAGCTCAAAGAACAAGCAAAGAATACTAAAGGCTGTAAGAGAGAAAAATCAAGTAACATATAAAGGTAAGCCAATCAAAGTAACAGCAGATTTCTCAACAGAAACCTTAAAAGCAAGAAGGGCATAGAGTGAGGCATTTTGAGCACTGAAGGAAAACAATTTGAGTCTTAGGATTCTGTACCCAGGAAGGCTATCATTCAAAATTGAAGGAGCAATAAAAATCTTTGAATGATAAACTGAAACTAAAGCAATACACACCACCACCAATACAGAATATTCTGAAAGGAATCCTATACACAAAAGATGAAAGGATGGGAATTATTAAATTATAGCCATGAAAAAATGGGGATTATTAAATCTCAAGAGAACACACAAGTAATTAAAGAGGAGAATAAAATTATTTGCACACATATAAAGCCTTACACAACAAAAACAACTAAATGGCAGGAATCACTTCATACCTCTTAATATTAACACTTAATGTTAATGGCCTCAACTCACCCATCAAACAACACTGACTAGCAAACTGCATTAAAAAGGAAGACCTGAGAATTTGTTGAAATCCACCTTACAGACAGAAAAAATGAAAGGGTGGAAAAAGAGTTACCGTGTTAATGCCCCCTCCAAAACAGGCAGGAATAGCAATATTATATCAGATAAAATAGACTGTACTCACAGCACAACAATAAAAAATAAATAAATGTATTAAAAAAAAATAGACCTCAAGCCTAAATTAGAAGAGACAAAGGTCACTTAGGAACAAAAGGATTAGTACATCAAGAGGAAATAACAATTGTTAACTTCTATGCACCCAATGTCAGTGTACCTAACTTCATTAAACATATACTACTGACTTAAAAACACAGATAGACCCCAAGACAGAGGTGGTGGGAGACTTTAATACTCCTCTACCACCAGTAGATAGGTCATCCAGACAAAGAATCAACAAGGAAACTCTAGAATTGAATAACACCATAAAATGGACCTGAAAGATTTCTAGAGTAGTCTATTCTACACCAGCAGCTCATGATACTTTTTCCAAAATAGACCATATTTTAGGTCACAAAGCGAGTCTTTTTTTTAAGTTTTAGCAAGAATTCATTTTAGTATAACAGGATAAAGTGCAGAAAAACAGGACAGAAAAGGGAGCAAAGAATCAAAATGATGGTTTCCATCTCTTACTTTTATACTGGGAAGCTAGGGGAATACATATGGTCAAAAATAGTGGGTCATCCTGGCCCACCCAAAACACAGAGACAGTAGGTGTACAAAGCAAGTAAAACAATCCCCTACACAGTGTCTGACCACAACACAATAAAACTAGAACTTAACAACAAAAGAAACAGCAGAAAATACTCAAACACCTGGAAACTATGATCAGTAGCCCCTAGATGAATAAGGGAGTAAATGAAAAAGTTTCTGCAATTGAATGAGAATGAAAGCACAGCTTATTAGAACCTGTGAGAAACAGCAGAGACAATCCTAAAGGGAATATTTATAGCCAAAAAAACCACAGAAAGATCTCAAATAAATGACATTATGCTGCATCTCGAACTCCTAGAAAACCAAGAACAAGCTAAAACCAAAAATACCAAGACAGAAAATAATCTAAATAAAGGCCAAAATCAAATAATAGAGACCAAAAAAACCATATAAAGAATCAATGAAACAAAAAGCTGATTCTTTAAAAAGCACATAAGATTGACAAACCTCTGGCAAATCTGAATAAAATGCAGAGAGTAAAGACCCAAATTAATGAAATTAGAAATGAAAAAGGGAAGATCACAACAAACACTAATAAAATCCAGGGAATCATCAGGGACTACTTTGAAAACCTATATTCTAATAAATTGGAAAATCTAGAAGAAATAGACAAATTTCTAGATACATATGAACATCCAAAATTGAACTAAGAGGAACTTAATCACCTAAACAGATCTATAACAAGCAATGAAATCACAGCAGCAATTAAAAGTCTCCCCTCTCCACAAAAAAAAAAATCCAGGACCTGAGAGATTCACTGCTGAATTCTAACAGATCTTTAAAGAAC